TAAATAAATGTCGATAGGAAATCAACGGAAAACAAACGTTGGGTAGCAGAGAAATCTCAGGGTTCATGGAGCAATGTATTAAGGTGTTCACGCGAGTAAATCTAGCAAAGTGAGATTTCTAAATCGAATTCACTTAATAGTATAGCCAATAAACTCTCGCAGTGAAGACTAATATATCAATCAACCTAATACTCGACTCTTGCAAAGCAATTAGATGAATATATATGTATAAAAGGGATTAAGATTCGATATGTTAACCTTATCCTTAACACGACTCCCACAGTGATAAAGTTCAAGCTCATCTATACTAGTTCCAATCAATTAGTCATGACTCCCTAACACAAATCTCGTAATGAAAAGGTACAAGCTCGTAAGATAAATTTAGATTCAATCACAAGATGGTTAAACTAGCTATATGCAAGAGATGAAAGTATAGATGAAGACTCCACTAAATTCCTAAGCATGAACAATTTCTATTTATCGATCCATGAACAACGCCCCTTGAAAACCTCTTTAACCCAACAATCAAACTAGTTCAATCATGTTGCAAGTGAAATCATAGCAAGATAAAAGTATTTCACATAGAAAAAGGGTTGAGAATGCTTCTCTCTATGGATACAAAGATTAGCAAAATGTCTCCCTCAAACAACTTGCAATAGAAACTCTATGAAACTCTCGTCTGCTTGGTGTCTCCTTCAAGCTCTCGCCTTTAGGGTTGATAGCGGCGTGTCTCTGTGATGGTGTCCTTTCTTTGTGGCTGCTGAGTCCCTTTATCTAGGTAAGAAGTCAGACTCTAGGTAAAACCCTTGAAGATAACTTTGAAAATAGAATATTTCTTTTCTTTGTGGGTGAGGTGATCGGTCGGACGCCATACTGTTCGGTGATGAGGTAAATCTAGTTTTACCCAATGTAAAACAACTTAGGCTGCAAGTGCACAACCAATCGATCGTAGTACTTAGAGATCGAATCTACAGAGAATTAGAAACACTCAGCAATTTAAATTAAGAACTACGCTAAGTCAAGCAAAGTTTTAGAGTGATCAAACGGTAATCAAATTTGGTTTTAAACAATAATTAAGAAGTGTTGGGCGTTCGGGGATTCTCAGGGTTTCATAGTTCGAATTATTCATGTAATTCTTAGAGGCAATTGATTCAAAAGCATATTAAGCTAAACAGACTCTCACGATTATTAGCTACTAATTCAAACCAGCCCTATCAATCTACTCTCGCAGCAATAATGACTAAGTTCTAATGCAATTTAAACTGGTTCAATTGTTCATTAAATCCTAAAGGTTTAACTCTCGCCATCCTATATAGAATAAAACTCATCAAACATCCTTTTTCAGACAAGTAATGGAACGGGTAGAACTCAATAC